ACATTAAGCAAAACATTACAAACTACCGATTTACATTAAGACCCAAACAAAGCAACTATCAAAACTTACATTCATGGTACCTGAATGAATAAATAAACAACAGCATGACACTTTATGCTTTATGAAATGATTATAAATTCAACATATGAAACAATAATAAGTCCATAATTGTTCCCTTATTGTATTACTGTGGTACCCATCACAAATTCAAAACAAAAACTTTCATTCATCTTTCTATATTTTGTGTAAATAAAAGGTTATGAATTTTTGCTCTTTTACTATTTTTATTTGCGATTTATTTATTTATTTATTTATTTTAATCTTACTCCAACCTAAAAACTTGATTTTTTATATTCTTGATCTCATCTTTCAAAGGAACTCATTAGAAAATAAAAGTTATCCTTAATGGTGCAGTTTGAGTTTATTGCAGTTTTCCAGAAAGCAATTCTGAAAAGCAGGTTCACACTCAACGTAAACAAAGCACAGCTAAATATGCAAAAACAAAACAAAAAAAATGTTGAAGCTTGAGTCGCTGACTGACCAACATTAGGCTAGAAAAATGTCAAGATGTTTAGGTGGAAATATGYGAGTAAATCTGGAATAAAATTAGAGGAAGTCAGCAAATTTTTTGTCTCATATATTTGAAGAGCTGCATTTTGTACTGAGCCTGAACAAAATTGGTTATCCTATACTTTTTTGTAGAACACCCATTTTTAAAGTCCATTTCAAAGATTGTTTAAAAATACCTATTTACATACTTTTTTGGTTTGTTGCAAATGTGAGAGATGCTTATATGGCATTTTTAATGCAGATTGGACAGCAATACACACACAAGATATTTAGATTACATGTAGTCTATTTACAACCATATTTATAATTATGCTTTATACGATATCTATGGGACTGACCCTGTTAGTACTTTTAGAAGCAGAAGCTCATCTGTGCACTAGCAGTTTCCACAGTTAGCAAAAAAAAAGCCAATGTGCTAATTGAGAAGCTAGTTTCTTTTTTAGTGTTAACTCTGGTGTAATTTAGTGATTAGATGCTAAATAAAAATTGGATGACTCTGAAATGTGGCAGAAATATAAATTGAACCCAGCTAGGCTACAATATGCAAGAAAAGGACATTTTTGAGTAAAACGTACAAATATGAAAGAGTATAGGAACATGTTTTATTCCAATTTCAAACATTTAAAGGAGAAGGCTATGTAAAAATCATTGTTTGAATGAGGTTCAGGCAACAATGGTTGAAATGAAACATACAAAAAAATATGGCTAAAATACTGTAAATTAAAAACCATTAGGACCCTAATCTTGAAGGCAAGAACAGATTATCTCAGCCACCCACATCCTCCACAACCTGACAAACACATGCAAATAAATCAACAGCAGTTCATCATTAAATTTTAAATACAGAATAAAATTATCTTTTTTTAACATTTTATTTGTTAATCACATAGTGTTTGTTTTAAAAAGAGGGTGGTGGAATTTACCCGTCCTCAGATTTTTCACAACATCGGCACTTGTTAAGAGTCTGGCTTTACAAAGAAAGGGAGTTGGCACACCTCATT